AAACTTAGTTTCATTTCTGATGGAGAAATCAAATACTTTGTTGACATTCACATGCTGAGGAAGTTTGCTGTGACTCAACCGGCTCTACAGGAAATACTCAGACCCATTCTTCATAACAAACAACAGATGGGTACATCATTAAAGTAAACCTACCCAGAAATTAAAGAACAAAGCCTAGCTTCCACAATGGTGAGAGGCACAACATTAAGCTCTGGACATCTGAAATACAAGATGACCAAAACTCTACCACTTCTATCAATTCTCTCAATTAATGTGAATGGTTTGTTCTTTCCTTTAAAGACACAGAGGCTGGCCGACTGGATGCAAAAACTCAGGCCAGATATCTGTTGCCTATAAGAAACTCACCTTACCTTACCTCAAAAGATAAATCAGTATTCAGGGTGAAGGGATGGACAACAATATTCCAGAAAAATGGACAGAAGAAAAAGGCTGAAGTTGCAATCTTGTATGCAGATGCAATGGGATTCATAAAAACAAAAATAAAGAAAAGCAAAGATGGACACTTCACACTGGTCAAGGGAAATGCAGAATATGAAGAGATTTCAATATTTAATATAGAGTTTATAAAACAAACTCTAACTGATCTGGATGATGTGATATCTTCCCACACTATAATAATTGGAGATTTTAACACCCCATTGGAGTATGGACAGATTCTTCAAGCAGAAACTAAATAAAGACATAATGGACTTAAACACAATTCTAGAACAAATGGACTGAACAGACATTTATAGAACACTTTATTCTAAAAAGAAAATACACATTCTTCTCATCAGCCTGCAGATCATCTTCCAAAATTAATCATATCTTAGGTCACAAGGCTAACCTCAACAAATTCAAAAGGATAGAAATTATCCCCTGTATCTTCTCAGACCATCATGGAATAAAAGTTGAACTCAAAAGCAACAGAAGTCTTCATACTCAAATAAAGTCATGGAAACTAAATAACCCTATGCTGAATTATAGCTGGGTCATTGACAAGATCAAGAAGGAGATCATCATATTCCTGGAAAAAAAAAAACAATAATGAAGACACAAACTATCAAACACAGTGGGATACTGCAAAGGCAGTCCTCAGAGGGAAAGAGAGCAAGTCAGAAACCTAATGGGCCATCTCAAACAACTAGAAAAGGAAGAACAATCTAATCTCAAACCTAGCAGAAAAAAAGAAATAAGCAAAATTAGAGCAGCACTAAATGAAATTGCAAACAAAGAAATTATTCAGAAGATCAGTGAAACAAAAAGTTGGTTCTTTGGAAAGATAAACCATTGGCTAGACTAACCAGAAACAGAAACACAAGATCTCTAATGGCTACAATCAGGAATGATAAAGGGGAAATAACAACAGATGCCACAGATATACAAACGATTCTCCACTATTACTATAAAAAACTATATTCCCAGAAATATGAAAATGTAGAGATCAACCAATATCTGGAAGAACAATAGCTTCCAAAACTCAGCCAGAAAGTATTAGAAATCTTGAATAGACCAATATCAACTACTAAAATATCATCAATTATACAAAATCTCTCCTGAAAAGAAAATCCCTGGACCAGTTGTCTTCACACTGGAATTCTATCAAATCTTCAAAGAGGAACTAGTTCTTATAATGCATAAAGTTTTCCAAAATATAGAGAAAGAAGGAATCCTCCCCAACACATTCTACGAAGCAAATATCATCCTGATCTCCAAACCAGGAAAAGACCCCCTCCCAAAAAAAACCCCCAAAAAAGTATAGACTAATATCATTAATGAATATTGATGCAAAAACATTCAATAAGATATTAGCAAACAGAATATAGCAACACATTAAAAAGGTTATACACAATGATAAAGTGGGTTTTATCCCAGAGACACAGAGTTGGTTGGTTGAACATATACAAATCTATAAATATAATACACCACATAAATAGAATCATTATTCTTAGAAAAACAAAGACCATATGATTCTTTCAATTGATACAGGAAAGGCTTTTGACAATATCCAGCATCCTTTCATTATAAAAATACTCAAGAAAATAGGCTTAGAAGGAACATTCCTTAAGCTGATAGAGGCCATCTACAGCAAACCTAGAGCCAATATCATACTGAATGGAGTAAAACTGAAAGCATTCCCACTGAAATCTGGAACCAGAAAATCTGGAACTGAAATCTGGAACCACTGTCTCCACTGCTATTTAACATATTGTTGCAAGTCCTAGCCCTTGTAATTAGGCAAGAGATGGAGATCAAAGGAATCTAGATGAGGGTAGAGGAGGTCAAACTCTCCCTCTTTGCAGATGACATGATCTTACACCTGGAAAAACTCAGGGACTCAACTAAAAATCTCTTCAAAGTGATCAAGGAATACGGCAATGTCTCAGTTTACAAAATCAATACCCACAAATAAGTAGCCTTCATATATACCAAATATTATTAATCTGAGAACAAAATCAAAGACTCTATTCCTTTTGTAATACTACCAAATAAGATGAAATACCTGGGAATATATCTAACAAAAGAAGTGAGAGATCTCTATAAAGAGAATTATCAAACTTAGAGAAAGGAAATAGCAGAAGATGTCAACAAAAGGAAGAACACACCATGCTCATGGCTGGGAAGAATCAACATTGTTAAAATGTCCATACTATACAAAGCAATCTATAGATTTAATGCAATCCCCATCAAAGCACCAATGTCATAATTTAAAAATCTTGAAAATATAGTACTTTGATTCATATGGAACCAGAAAAATATAAAATCTTGAAAATATAGTACTTTGATTCATATGGAACCTGAATAGCAAATATAGTTCTTAGATATAAAAACAATTCTGGAGGCATCACATTGTCATATTTCAGGTTATATAACAAGGGTATAGTGAACAAAAAAGTATGGTACTCGTACAAAAATAGAGATAAAGATCTATGGAGTAGGATAGAGAATCTAGAGACAAACTCAGCCACATATTGTCATTTCATCTTTGATAAGCCTAACAAAATCATGCAATGTGGAAAAGAATCCATATTTAACAAATGGTGCTGGGAGAATGGGTTATCCACATGCAGAAGACCGAAACTGGACTCACACCTCTCACCATTGACAAAAATTGATTCCTGTTGGATAAAAGATTTAAATTTAAGACACTAAACAATAAAAATTCTAGAAGAGAATGTGGAGAAAACACTTGCAGATATTGCCTAGGAAAAAACTTTATGAGGAAGACCTCCCTATCAAGTGCAGCAACACCAAAAATAAATAACTGAGACTTGATCAAGCCAAAAAGCTTTTGCACAGCTAAGAGTCCTACAAATGAAGCAAAGCACCCTCAGAATGGGAGATTTTTGCATGTTACGAATCTGACAAGGGCCTTATAATTATAATCTACAGAGAACTCAAATTAAACAATAATAAAAGTACAAACAACCCTCTCTATAAGTACGCAAGTAATTTGAAGAGAAACTTCTCTGAGGATGACATACAAATTGCCAACAAACACAGGAAAAAAATGCTCATCATCTTTAATAATCAGAGAAATTCAAATCAAACCCACTCTAACCTAGTACCTAACCCTGGCAAGATTAGCCCACATCACAAAGTCCCAAAACACCAGACACTGGCATGGAAGTGGAGAGAAGGTAACACTTTTAACACTGCTGGTGAGATTGCAAACTAATACAGCCCTTTTAGAAAGAAGTATAAAGAATCCTCAAAGATCTAAATGTAGACCTTCCATCAGATACTGTAATCCCATCACTAGGTATCCACCCAGAAGAACATAAATCATTTTACCACAAAGACATTTGCACTAGAATGTTTATTGTAGCTCAGTTCATAATGGCCAAGTCATGGAAGTAACCTAAGTGCCCATGAACCCATGAATGGATCGACAATTGTGGTATATGTATACCATGGAAGATTATGTTAAAAAAAGATGGAGACTTTACATTTTTTACATTTACCTGGATGGAGGTGAAATATATTCTTCTTAGTAAAGTATCATAAGAAGTGAAAGATGAATATCCAAAGTACTCCATACTAATATGAAATCAATATATAAACAATTACATGTTCCTAAGAACAATAAAACACTATTATAGTCCAGTTCAGGGTTAGAGCGAAATAGGAGGGTGGCAGGAGGAGGAAGGGAGGGCATGAGGCGTGATCTCACCTAATGTGCACATTGTGAGGGTATATGACATGCCCCCTGGATGAGGGCTCTTCTACAAATGGAATTTTGTCCCAGAAGTGAGAACAATGTAACCTAAATATTGTACCCCCATATTAATTTTAATAAAGTTGTTTTTAAAAAGAGTGAAATCAGGCAGTTAAAGAAAAACTCCAAGGGAGAGGAGGGGTGGGGAAAGGATGGATGGAGGGACAGTAATTGGTGGGACCACACCTACAGTGCATGTTACAAGGGTACATGTGAAATTTCCTAAGTATAGAATATAAATGTCTTAACATAATAACTAAGAAAATGCTGTGAAGGCTATGTTAACCAGTTTGATGCAAATATATCAAATTGTATATAAAACCAGCACATTGTACCCCATAATTGCATTAATGTATACAGCCATGATTTAATAAAAAAAGAAAAACTCCTTGACACCGTCATTGAAGCTTACCACTGTACTGTGTTTTCAAGATTTCAGTAAAAGCCTGTGACAATTGTTAAACAAAAAAACAAAAAAACAAAAAAACAAAAAAAAAGAAGGAAATTTTTATTGGTATGTTTGGGAGAATCAAGGCTAATGTTGGCTTTCAGTGTAATATTCTTATCTAGTAATGAGATGGTAGTAGAGGCCAACCTCCCTGCCCCTGGGTGATGGAAGCTATTGGTATTTACTAAAAAGTAATCAATCAGGGAGCATAAAAGTAACTTGGGTCAGTTTGCAAAAGACATTTTCTTTCTGACTCTAGAAAAAATGTAAATCAATTCAAACTCTCTATGTTCTTTATAGCCATATTCTTCTGTCTCCTTTTAGGTCACTTACCAATTTTTTCATCTTCCTGTACCATCTTCCTCTCTTCTCTGAAAGCCCTAAGCCAGCGTATTTTCTCCTCTAGCTTCTTGGCAAAGAACAGATGTATCTCTTCAGTTTCCTTGTTGTGAAGCTTGAAAGCATTCTTCATGCTGACATTAAAGTCATCATCTCTGCCATCTTCAATGTCAACTACCTCATATTTATCCATGTCAATGCGGCCTTTGTAGTACAGAATATCTCTCCGAATCAGGTCCTATGCGGAAGGGAAGAAAAGGCAGAGTAGGTAACAGAAAAGTTGACACACGTGTACAGTAGGACCCTAATACTGTTATTGATTTGGAGTACCAATTGGAACTGCTCTGGTCTAAATTTGGCAGCTTAGATTAATGGCCTGACATTGGCCAGTTGGCTAACTAGATACTCTTAGAAAAAGCCTATGCACCAGTTCTAACTTTCTCAGATCCTAGTATCAATCATTTGATGTATTTGTAAGATTGCTGATAGGAGTTTGCTGATGGGAGATTTATAAGACTACTGATGAAGCAGTAAGCCACACAAGCACTGCTAGCAGGGGGGTTTTCCTCCTCCAAAACATTGGCAAGCTTACCAGGTGTTAAATAAGCTGGATGAGTTCCTAGATTGTGTTTAGGTATCTAAAGCCAGGCCAATGTGTTCTGAATATCAGAAGGGAGCTGACTGGTAAGAGTAGCTAGTAGGGCACAGACCAGGATTTTCAGAAAAAATCCTAGTCTGGCAGGATAAAAGGTGGAAAAAATGAATAAAAGAGGCTCATGTACAGAAGTAGATGAATATCATAAATATTCCTGTGAAAGAAAAACAAAAGTTATAGATAGACATAAAGAGTATGCTGCCTATTTGTTACTGTTGTTTTATATTCATATACACAGAATTTGATTAATCCTAACTCTATTCCATGAGAGACATTCATCACTAGTCTATATGTTCTGCTTTTATTTTTCTATTTATTCATTTACTTATTTTTAATAATGTAGTATTGATAAACTCACCACACAATCTAAAAGCTATGGCCTCAAGACATTTTCTACACTAAATCCCATTCTATCATTCTACCTGGTTTCCTATGTATAGTATATAGTTTTATCTTACCTTTATCTATTTAGCTTTAAAACATACAAAACAATGCCACATAATCTTTATAGATACATACATATGTATGAAAATTATAAGAAAATATATGACAATGATATATGCCAAATTCAAGAGAGCACAGAGCAAAAAATTGGAAGAGGCAAGAAAAGAAGGAAGGGAAGCAGAAGAGAGGGAAGGGAAGCAAACTCTATTATGAATTATTTATTTATTTTCTGTTTTTATTAATTCATATATACATAGAACATACGTGTCATAAATCATTTATGCCTTTGTGGGTTTCAATGTGTTCATTATTTATACAAATTAGAGTGCTTACACCCTACTAATTAACATAGCTTTCACCTCATTTATATAATCACAGGGTTAAGATATTTGTGTTCTGTACCTGATAGATTTGACTCATACCCTTGCAATATGCTCCATAGGTGTGGTCCCACCATTAACCCTTCCTCTATTAAACCACTCCCCTTCCCTCCTTCATACTTTGCTATAGTTGTGATTCATCTTTCATATGAAAGCATGAGTGATTATAAATTGGTCTCATAGTAGTACTGAGTATATTGGATTTTTTTTTTCATTCCTGAGATACTTTACTAAGAAGACTATTTTCCCGCTCCATCTATGTAAACATAAAGGAGGTAAAGTCTTCATCTTTTTTAATGCTGCATAGTATTCCATGGTATACATATACCACAATTTATTAACCCATTCATGGGTTGATGGGCACTTGGGCTTCTTCCATGACTTGGCTATTATGAATTGAGCTGCAATGAACTGGTGCAAATATCTTTCTTGCCAAGTGATTTTTGGTCTTTTGCATATACACCTAGTAGAGGAATTGCAGGATCAAGTGGCAGGTCTACATTTCAATCCCTAAGTGTTCTCAAAACATCATTCCAAAAGGAACGTACTAGCTTGCGTTTCCAACAGCAGTGCAGAAGTGTTCCCTTTTCTCCACATCCATGCCAGTTCAGGGATTTTGTGATGTGGGCTACTCTTACTGGAGTTAGATGATATTTCAAAGGGGTTTTGGTTTACATTACTCTGATGATTAAAGATGATGATCATTTCTTCATGTGTCTGTAGACCGTGCACCTGCCTTCTTCAGCGAACCTTCTGTTCATGTGTCTTGCCCACAATTAAATGGGATCACTTCTTCTTCTCTTATTAATACATTTGAGTTCTCTGTGCATTCTGGTTATTAGACCATTTTCAGAAATATAACCTGCAAAAATCCTCTCCCATTCTGAGGACCATCTACTTGCTTTACTTACTGTGTTCTTGGCAGTGCAAACGCTTTTAGTTTGGTCAGATCCCAGTAATGTATTTTTGATGTTGCTGCAATTGTCCAGGGGTTCCTCCTTATAAAGTATTCCCACAGGCCATTTTTTTCAAGTGTTTCCTCTACACTCTCTTCAAGAATTTTTATACTTTCATGTCTTAAGTTTAAATCCTTAACCAGTGAGAGTCGATTTTTGTTAGAGGAGAAAGTTGTGGAGTCAGTTTCAGTCTTCTACAAGTCGCCAGTCAATTCATCCAGCACCATGGGTGAAATAGGAAATCTTTCCACCAATTTATATTTTTGATAGGCTTATCAAACATCAAATGATGATAATTGTCTGGGTTTATCTCTTGGTTTTCAATTCTGTTCTATACATCTACCTCTGTATTTTTGTGCCAGTACAATGCTGTTTTTATCACTATCGATTTAATTCTGGTTGCCTTATTCCTCCTGATTTCTCTTTCTTACTGAGTAATGTCTTCAATATTTGAGGTTTTCTTCTGTTTCCATATAAAATGAAGTACTATTTTTTCCAGATCTCTAAAGTATGACAGAGGTGCTTTAATAGGGATTGCACTAAATATGTAGATTTCTTTGGGTAGTATAGACATTTTAACAATGTTGATTCTTCCCAGCCATGAGCATGGTATATTTTTCTATTTGTTAACATCTTCAGCTACTTGTTTTTTCAGAGTTTCATACTTCTCTTTATAGAGATATTTTACATACTTTGTTAGGTATACTCCCACATATTTGATCTTCTTTGGCACTATTGTAAAGGGAATAGAGTCCTTGATTGTTTTTTGACCTTGATTATTGTTGGTATATATAAAGGCTAAAGATTTGTATTTGTTTGTATCCTGAGATGCTGCTATATTCCTTGATCACTTGTAGGAGTTTTGTAGTTGAGTCCTGGGGCTTTGAGATGTACAATCATATCATGTGTGAAGAGTGACAGTTTGATCTCCTCTGATCCTATTTGGATACCCTTGATTGCCTCCTCTTGCCTGGTTGTGATGGCTAAGATTTCCATTATAATGTTAAAAAGCAGTGGAGATAGTGGGAAACTTGCCTGGTTCCTGATATGAGTGAAAATAATTTCAATTTTACTGCATTCAGTACGATATTGGCTGTGGGTTTGCTGTAGATGGTCTCTATCAGTTTAAGAAATGTTCCTTCTATACATATTTTCTTAAGCATTCTGATCAAGAAAGAATGCTGGATATTATCAAAAACTTTTCCTGCATCAATTGAAAAAATAATATGGTCTTTGTTTTTTAATTTGTTTATGTGATGTATTATATTTATAGATTTGTGTTTATTGAACCATCTTTGGGACTCTTGGATGAAACCTGGTCACAATGTATAATTTGTTTGATGTCTTGCTGGATTCTGTTTGCTACAAGATTATTGAATATTTTTGCATCAGTATTCATTAGAAACATTGGTCTATACTTTTCTTTTCTTGTTGAGTCTTTTCCTGGTTTGGGGATCAGGGTGATATTTGCTTCATATATAGGTACTAGTTCCTCTTTAAATATTTGGTAGAATTCTGATGTGAAGTCATCTGGTCCTGGGCTTTTTTTTGGGGGGAGGGGGATTTCTTATACTTGATACTATTTGAAAACTTGATATAGACTTGTTCAACATTTCCACTTCTTTGTGGCTAATATTTCCTTCAGATTTTCATACTTCTGAGAATAGAGTTTTTTGTAATATTCATTAAGGATTTCCTGACTTTCTGAGGATTCAGTTGTTAGTTGGCCTTTATAATTTCTAATTGATGAAATTAGAAATTTTAGTCTTTTATTTCTGGTTAGACTGGCCAAAGGTTTATCTATTTTATTGACCTCTTCCTTAAACCAACTTTTTGATTTATTGATCTGTTATATAATCCTATTGTTTTCCATTTCATTTGATTCTGCTCTAATTTTCATCATTTCTTTTCTTCTGCAGGGTTTGTGGTTGGAATGCTCTTCCTTTTCCAGTTGCTTGAGATGTCCCATTAAGTTCTTGACCTCTTCTCTTTCTGTTCACTTAAGGAAGGCTTGCAATGCTATAAATTTCCCTCTTAGGACTGCCTTTGTGGTATCCCAGAGATTCTGGGATACCATGTCTTCATTACCGTGTTGTTCCAAAAATTTGGTAATTTCCTTCTTATTCTCATCTATGACCCAGCTATCATTCAGCATGAGGCTATTTAGTTTCCATTATTTTGTATGTAGATTCCCATTGTTATTGATTTCAATTTATACTCCATGTTGGTTCAAGAAAATACAAGGAATAATTTCTATTCTTTTAAATTTGCTGAGGTTAGACTTGTGACCTAAGATGTGATCAATTTTGGAGGATGTTCCATGGGGTGATAAGAAGAATGTGTATTCAGTTTTGTTAGGATTAAATGTTTGTAGGTATCTGTTAAATCCAATTTTTGAGTGGTTAAGTTTAAGTCTATAATTTCTTGCTTACTATCTCATTGGAGGATTTATCCAACACTGCCAAAGGGGTGTTAAAATCTCTGACTATTATCATGCTGGAGGAAATCAAGTTGCTCATGTCTATTAGCATCTCTGTTATAAATTGAGGCACATTCTGGTTGGGTGTATAAATGTTAATTGAAATATCATCATGTTGAATTTTGCCCTTAATACATATGAGGTGACCATCTTTATCTTTCCTTACTTTTGTTGGTTTAAAGCCTATTGCATCTGCATATAAAATTATAACACCTGCCTTTTTCTGATTTCCTGAGACTATATTTATCTTTTAAGGTAAGATGAGATTCTTGTATGCAGCAGATATCTGGCCTACATTTTTGTATCCAGTCAGCCAACCTATGT